TGGGTTTTTCTATCATATTCACGCTGTCTACTGTGGCCTTGTAAAGACAGGGCTTCTTACTGTTGAGGATATAAATACAATTTTATTATATTTTGCTTTGTATCCCTTACCACACACACACAACAACAACAACAACAAAAACAAAACACCTAACCTACTTAAAAAACGAGAGAGAGATTAAAAGAATACAGCAGTGAAAGATTTTACCTAGGGTTTAGTTTGCCTAAAGTCAATTAATGTTCAATTTTATTTTTCCTTAAGTGAAAGATTCTAAGAAGAACTGACTTGAGCCAACCATTTCCCGAGTTTGAGAAACTGTCTTCTATGGAAATAATAGCTTATGAATATCTCAGTGACAGTTGGGGATTCATGGGTCTTGTCTTGGTCTCCTAAGGGGAGAAATCTCTGTCCCTCATTCTAAAGACACAGCACTAATCAGAGCTTACAACAGAACTGCTAAGATGACATCTGTGGTGTGTGGTCTACTGATAGCAGGAAAACAGGAAAGGGAAAAAAATGTCTATGGCCAAGTAAGCTTGGAAACATCGACTCAAACAAAATTAAGTAATTTTAAATATCCCAGTGCTCATTAAAAACAATAAAAAGCTTCGATGTATTCAAACACATAATGAACCCCAAACTTAGAGAATCACTAGTATTCCCTAAACTTTGCTTATCAGGAAACTATTTCTTTTCTTCTTTCAATCTCTCTCTCTCTCCCCACCCTTCCTTCCCCTTAATAGAATACCACACATGACTAGTACTTTATCTAACTTACCTGGCACTGGCTGATCTCCATGTCCCATGTCAGGGATCCGTGCATTAGACATCCTTTGTAAACCCTGCTTAGGCCCTGGCTGGGGAGAATGTTCTGCAGCTGGACATTACAATCCTTGGCTTAACAAATACTTCTGAGAGGAGTAAGTACATTGAGCTGTCTGAGTTTCGCATGTTTGCCCTCCAGGACTGAAAGAGAACTCTCTCTTGTTGTGAAAAGTGCATGGAGGTACCCATTCTGAGAGTCAGCTTTGTCTTCATCCACTAACTGTCTGCTTGGAAATGACGAGCTGAAAGTCTTGAGCAGGAAGAGTAGGCCATCACTCTTCAAAGTCTCAAGCAATAATGATGATTCCTTGGTTAGATTTGGTAAAGGGAAGAAGGGCAGTATTTGCCCTTAGGTGCTCAAAAATGGTACCTGGAGAGGTGAAGGTGAGTGTGCTGATGGTTTCCTGGTTCCTAACTACACTTATCTGGTGCCTCGTGTCGACATAATTGATCTGTTCCCCCATAGAAATGCCTTCTGCCTCTTCTCTATAAACCTAGTTCATTCTAGTCCCCTCCAGCCTGGCTCAGGTTTTGCCAGCTCCGTGACTGACGTTTCTAACCACAGCCCCTGACTGTATTGCTTAGCACCCTATAGCCTGCCACTTTTAACGACACGGAGTAGAAAGTATGCTCCTGTGAAAGCTGGTCCAGGGCCTCCTCACTAACAGAATGACCTCAAGTCCCTCACACTGGAAAATGAGAATAGAAAATTTTGGCCAGGTGTCACGGTGTATGCCTATAGTTCTTGTATTCTGGAAACTGAGGCTGGAGGATTGAGAGCTTGGAGGTCAGCTTGGATTGCAAAACAGACTTAAAAAAAAAAAAAAAAGCAAGCACGCAAACCCAAAGAAAGTTGGAGCTTCAGGAGGTGGTTCATTTGGTGAAGTTTCTCCTTCAAAGGACATGAGGACCCAAGTGTGAATCCCCAGCACCCATGTAAAAAGGTGGGGCAGTGGTAGGCCTGAGGAAGGTGGGTTCCCAGCTCTTGCTGGCCAGCCTGTCTAGCTAGTCAGAGTGAGCTCCAGGGTCGCTGGAGACATGCCTCAAAAAATAAGATGGCGAGCAATTGAGGAAGGCACCTAAGGTTGACCTCTGACCTCCATACATATGTGTACACGCAGCCGTGTGCACATATGAACACACACACTACACGCACACACGCTAGAAAATCTTGATCCTTATGGCTCTGACACCCTGTATTTTTCTGTTTTTGCTTGTTTTGTTCTTTTGCGACAGGCTCTCATGTAGTCCAGACTGACCCGGAAGTCACTCTCATTCTGAAAATGACCTTGAACTTCTAATCCTCTTTCTTTTAACTCCCCAAAGCTGGGTGTCTTGCTGAGTGTTGGGTTTTTTTTTTTTTCCTGTTATTTGTTTTCTCCCTAAATATATAAGCAAACACCAGTTTTTACTGTCTCCTACATCCCTCTGGTCTTTCCAATTAAATTTATTGTAGACGCTTGAGGATAAATATCATAATTGTTCATGCATTAGTTTTACTTCGTCTGATTCTGGTGCAGCATAATAAATGTTTGCTGAGTAAATGGAACAAAATGATGCCCTATAATCTCACAGACAGAGCTTTTGGCTCCGTCTGTCAGTGTGATGACAATTCCTTTCAGACTTGAGCTTTGCCCCCCTCAGAACAAGGTATGCAGGGGTGTTTGAGAATTAAGGTTGTGCTCGCAAGGTCTTCCTGTCCTTCCCCTAAAAATCCTCCCCACACAGCTGAAGGTGCCCGTGTGCTGTTTAGCATTCCTCCCAGGCGTCCTCAGCTTCTCTTTGCTGATCCCGTGGTGTGCCTTTCCACCCACTCCAGCCCAAGAGGACTAACTTATCATCTTCCGGGGAACCGTGCCCACCATCTGATATTTGGATTGTCACAGGAACGGATTCACATGCTCCGGTCTTCCTCGTCGGACGCTCTGGCTTTGATAGCCATGCATTTATTTTCTCTTACCCACTCTGGGATGTAAAGCAAGACCCTCTCCAATCTGATCTTGCCACTTGTTGGAAGCCTTGCTTTGCCGGTAGATGTTGGCATCTACACTGTGTGAATAGACATCTTTAGCTGCTTCCCTTTCCACTGGGGACATGCACACTAAGGCCACCCAGAAGACTCTGTCTGCAGGCCTGTCCTCATGACCCCCCAGAACATACGTCCCCAAAAGGAAGGTAGAGATCCATTCTGCTCATTGCCCATTCATGCGCAGTGAAGTTTTTTATGCTGTGACCTCGTCCACATTTGGCTTTGTCCCGAGTCCCTCTGTGTGAATTACTGGCAGCAGTTAGCTGGGAAGGAAGGCTTCCCTAGTTCACTCTTTCTTTTCTTCCTCTTAAAAAAAAAAAGACATTTTTATTTACTATTGGAGTATGTGTGTTTATGTACATGTGAAGTGCTGGCTGAGGCCAGAAGAGGGAGTTTGATTCCCTGGAGCTGGAGTTACAGGCGGTGGTGAGCCCCCGGATATGGGTGCTAGAATCAGGTCTTGGATTCTCTGTAAGAGCAGTAATCATTAACATCAGAGCCCATCCCCTCTGAGGATCCAGGTCTGACTTCATCAGCCCTCCGGAGACACATGGCTATTTTATTTTAGGGGTTTTTATGGTCCACACTTAAGCCAGAGAGAAGAGCATCTCCTGGTTACCCACCAGACAGCCCTCTTGAGCTCCTTCTCTTCCGGGCAAGCAGTGACTGAAATGTGTTTTCCCTTGACAGTCGCACAGACACATGAATATACATGGGATCCAGGGGAGTGCCCCCCCCCCCCCCCCGGAAGACAACAGCAGCCTTTTGTGAGCTTGTGTGCTGATTTTGTATTGTTGCTAGGAAAAATAACAGGCTATACAAATCGCCCTGGGCCTATAAAAGTCAGATGATTGATTTCTCCCTGTGGCAAGGTGGAGGTGGTATTTATAGTTGTGGACATCAGTCTGGAGACCTTCTGGGTGCTGTTGGCTTTTCTAGCTGCAAACCCCAGTTCTAGGAGCCCTCAAGCCATCCTCAAATGGACTGACCCCGGGAAGGTTACCGATTATCCTTTGGGACTGGAAGGTAAGGGATGGGAAAATGTTTTGAAGTGAAAACTGCAAAGCTTAAAGCGAGGTGTAAATCTGACAACTGGGATTGCTGTGAAGAATTCAGCTTAAATGCACTGTCAGAGACACTCTGAGGGTGCTGAGCTTGTAGCTGTTTGTCGGGGCTTTGGGCTGCTGCTGGCATGCTGCTGTTGGGAAAGACACAGCTGTTGATGACATTGAGTGGGCGGAAGGGCATTCCGTATTTATCCTGAGCCTCCTTAGTTAGCTCGAGACTGAAAGATGCCTTAACTTCCTCCTCTGATCCAGGGCAGCTACTCAGAATAGAAAGACGGTGGTGATTGGAGTGGTGTTCATCAGATTCCATTTCACTAGAGATCGGCAAAATCGTCCTAGCACAGAGCGTGCAGACACACGCATGGAGTCACTGTTTTCTTTAGATAGGTCATTGAGGAAGCCAGTTCACAGGTGAAGGCTCTAACCGGTCTACTGCAGAGGAGTTCAAAAGGAACCTGACTTTCACCGTTGTGAATGGACTTTTTGTTCCCACTTTGCATAATTCCATCACAATTCAGCAGAACCGTGGGCCTTGAGCTTTCTGTTATTAGGCTTTTCATTCAGAAAACATTAGATCTCAATGGCTGTGCTTTTCTGTTTCTTGCAGGTTCGTTTCTTTCTTTCGTTTTTTTTTTTTTCTTTTCTTTTTGCAAGATCCTAAATGCATCTCCTCACCCTCCCACCAATCAAATAAGAACATCTGCTATATGAGATAGATGAGATTTAGGTGAGGTGATAGGTCTCAATTCTATATGCTCCTAAGTAAACTTCCTTCTCTTGAAAATGCTTTTTTAAGCAGTCTACTTTTTAAAAATGTTTTAAATACTTTACAGTAAGTTGAGGGTAAATAATGAGCTTTTATTATTTACTGACTAAAATATAAAGTAGATTTCTGATATTTTGACTTATTCAATTCATGCAATTTTTCTAATTTTTGGTACATGCTTCAAAGGAAAGAGCTGTATAGGGCTACGATCAAGTATGTCATCATGTCTGCTTGCCTCCTCTCTCCTACATTCCTAGGGAAAGAGAATGTCCAATGTTACACTTCAGAATGATTTCTTGATTTTTGCAAACAGGTGTCTTATTAAAGATTTTGAAAAGCGGCCTTCGGTCACCCATCTCTTGGAGCACCCATTCATCCGAGGAACTCAAGGCAAGGTTTTGTTTCTGCAAAAAGAGCTGGCCAAGGTGCTCCAGGACCAGAAGCGGCTGAACCCTGTGGCTAAAACCAGGTACGTTCTCTGTGTCGCTCTGGATTCTTCCCCCGGCTGTTGGGAAAGAGGAGTGGACTGTGCTTTGTCCCACCTTTTCGCCAGTAGCAACCACACCCTTGCATTTTCAGAGTTTCATTGGTGGGTCTTTAATTAAGCATGTCTTGTGGATGAGTTGGGGATTCAGAAACAAACGGCCCATTTGCATCGCTGTGACCATTTTATCTCAAATGACTGGAATTCCACTATCCTCATATTCAGCTCTTAGCTCTCATCAAAAACATAGTTAGGAAATTGTCTCCTGTGCCAATGAACTCAAGGCTCTTCCCCACTTTTTCTTTTAACAGATTTAATGTGTCTGGTTTTATGTTGAGGTCTTTGATCTGCTTGGACTTTAGTTTTGTGCAGGGTGATAAATATGGATCTATTTTCATTTTTCTTCTTGTAGACATCCAGTTAGACTAGTACCATTTGTTGAAGATGCTGTCCTTTTTCCATTGTATGGTTTTGGCATCTTTGTCAAGAATCAATTATCCATAGGTGTGTGGGTTTATTTCTGGGTCTTTTATTCTATTTCATTGATCCACCATTTTGTTTCTATGCCAGTACCATGTAGTTTTTATTACTATTGCTCTGTAGTACAGCTTGAGAAACAGGAAACAGGACAGGAGCTCACCACAGAAGGCCTCTGAAAGACTACCCGCAGTATATCAAAGCAGATGCTGAGGCTCTTAACCAAACTTTGGGTAGAGTGGAGAGAATCTTATGAAAGAAGGGGGAGATAGAAAGACCTGGAGGGGACAGGAGCTCCACAAGAAAAGCAACAAAACCAAGAAATTTGGCACAGAGGTCTTTTCTGAGACTGATACTCTAACCAAGAACCATGCATGGAGATAACCTAGAACCCATACACAGATGTAGCCCATGGCAGCTCAGTATCCAAGTGGGTCCCTTAGTAAGGGGAACAGGGACTGTCTCTGACATGAACTCAGTGGTTGGCTCTTTGATCACCTCCCCCTGAGGGGGGAGCAGCCTTACCAGGCCACAGAGGAAGACAATGCAGCCAGTCCTGATGAGACCTGATAGGCTAGGGTCAGATGGAAGGGGAGGAAGACTTCCCCTATCAGTGGACTTGTTGAGGGGCATGGGAGGAGATGTGGGTGTGATTGGGAGGTAATGAGAGAGGGGGCTACAGCTGGGGTACAAAGTGAATAAACTGTAATTAATATAAAAAATAAAATAAATTTAAAAAAATGTAGTTAGCTGGATGGTGGTGGCACAGGTGAGACAGGTGGATCTCTGTGAGTTCGAGGCCAGCCTGGTCTACAGAGAGAGAGTTCTAGGACAACCAGGGCTACACCTAGAAACCCTGTCTTGAAAAATAAAAATAAATAAAAATGTAACTGCAAAATAGCCATGGCTACAATTATATGAAAAGGCTTTACCTGGCTGTTGCAGAGCAGGGAACATACATCGACTATATGAACACGCCATTGAAAGAGTGTGTGTTAAATGCCAGAGGCTTTTCCTTTGATGGGCTCTGAGTCCTTTCTCTCTTTGTTAAAAATTCTGCAGAATTATTTTAGTTTTGTTTCTTTTTTGTTTATGCTATCTGAAGCAACCAGGACTCCTTCTACATGGCTCTATCCCTCTCCGTCACTTTTAAAGGGCAGATTTTGTTTGAAGGATGTTTATTTTTAGGAGGTGGGAGCAAGTCTTTAAAACTCTGTTCTGTGTGAATCTCTAACAAACAGATCTTTGATTTCTGTCCAGAGGGTGGCAGGATTTCTCTTTTAGAAAAAAAAAAAAAAAAAAAAGGTAATTGCAAACAAAGCTCCCCTGCTCAGCAATCACTTGGTTTTTATGAATCTGGCCAGAATGCTGATAAGCACCAGTCCAGTATTATTAAAAGAACATTCAGAGTGCCAGCGGTGAAGAAATAAAACAGCATAAGTCAGTTCCAGAGATATCCCTGTATTCTGCAGAAAACCGTTTACAAACCTAAAAGCCAAAGCCAGGCCTGCCGGAGATGGAATTTCAAGGTGACCGTGTTGCGCTGATTTTCTCTGTTGTCACAGGTTTCTGTGGAGGATGATGCAAAGCAAACATTTTCCTATCTGTCTCCCTGCCGTGGCCATTTCTGTCTCTGGCTAGCCGATAGGGCAGAGAGATGCAAACTTGTGCTTCAGGCCAGGGGAACACGAAGCCCTCTTCCCTTTCGTTTCTGTACACCAGCCTCCTCCACACAGTCACACTCCACCAAAATGAAGACAAGATACAAACACTCGTAAAGCAACCCTAAGGAAACCCAATCCTTAAGCGTTTAAGTTAGACCCAACTTCTATCTCGGTTCCACCAGAGCACCAGAAGCACCAGTGGCTTCTAAGACTTATCAAGCCTGGCACTTCTGCCCTGTTTTGCCTGCATGGATCTACATTCTCAATTTAAACACTTCTCCCCCCTCCCCCCACCCTCTACCCTTAGAAAATCATGATGCCATGCATGCTCAGGCTCTTGCTCTCATTGCTCTTTGCCAAATCTTTTGATGTTGAAATCGTGGTAGGTGGTAAAGGCTCCTCATGGGCCTTTGTAATCTCCAGTTTCATTCTGTTCTTTGTGTTCCTTTGAACCATCATTTAAAAAAAAAAATACAACCTCACAAATACGTATCAGAACAATGAACAGCCCTTTCCTTAGGAGGTAGGAAATGAATTCCAAAGGGAACACAGTGTAATTGCTACTAATTCTGCCATGACTTCCTCCCGGGGACTAGCAAGGTGTTGGCTGTATAGATGTTTTCTGAACCCACCAGGAAAAGCTCTCAGCCGTCGTTTGCAGCTGGCTAGCTGTGGCTTTCCACTCAAGGTGGAGAAAACAAAGAGTAACAGAGGTGAGAACACGGATGAATGAGAAAAAGCCCCCTCATTTCTCGGCGCTGATGCCCACTCACCAGGCAGGGCAACCCGATGATGAAAACCACAGGCTTTCCCAGGTTTGGGTTGTAGCTCGTCTGCTTGCTGGAGAAGTTATTTAACTTTTTTCTCCTTCTTAACTCTCTCTTATAAAGTGGGGATTATTTTGATTGTGCACTGAATCCATACATAAAAGTTTAGGATGGCTCTGGCTATAGTGTTATCTGTCAATACATGTTGGTCATAGAAAAAAAAAAAACAAAACGATGCACAATCTGTTTAGAGTCCTTCACTTCTTTTTAACATTGGGGTCTTAGGATTTCTTTTGCTCTGATGAGCCACTATAAGTAAGTTGGAGAGGAAAGGGTTTATTTCGCTTACTCCTCATTATCACTGCTCATCATCAAAGGCATTAGGGGCAGGAACTCAAACAGGACAGGAGCCTGGAGGCAGGAGCTGATGCAGAGGCCATGGAGGGGTGCTGCTTACTGGCTTGCTCCTTATAGCTTGCTCAGCCTGCTTTCTTATAATACCCCAAACCACCAGCTCAGCGGTGGCTCTGCTCAGAATAGGCTGGGCCCTCCTACATCAATCAGGAATTAAGAAGTTGTCTTCCAGGTTTGGCTACATCCAGTCCTGTACAGGCAATTTCTCAGCTGAGGTTCCCTCCACTCTGATGACACTAGCATGTGCCCAGTTGACATCAACTAGCCAGTACAACTACCTTTCTTTTGCCCTTCATCTGTGAAAATCCATCTTTTTAATCCATCAGAGAAGATCATGAAAATAAACACTTCGGAGGCACCAAAGGTTAAAAGTATTGATTTCTAGCTCTTTCTCAAAATCAAATTTATTCATTTATTCTTTGTAGAAACATTTACATGTGTAGGTGTCAGGCCCTAAGCTGAGCAGAGGAACTGCAAAGGCAAACCAGATCTGGTTCTTGATAAAATGCTAATAGTCTTTGTACCACATAGACAAGAATCAGATAACAGAGCTGTTCTTAACCTGTGGGTCGGGACTCCTTTGGCAACCTGTGATCTCTAAAATATTTATGTTACGATTCCTAACCGTGCAAAATTACAGTTATGAAGCAGCAACAAAAATAGTTTTATGGGGGGCGGGGAGAATCACCACATCATGAGGAACTGTATTAAAATGTTGAAGCACTGGGAAGGTTAAGTACCACTGAGGTAAGAGCACACATATCTAGATAAGGAAGGCCCAGGGAAGACATTAAAGAGAAAAATCAAGGAATTTCGCCAGGAAGTGGCTGAGCTAAGATTTAAACCTGGCAGAGCCAGTGGTTCACATTTTCCTCCTGCCGCACGACCATCAGTGCAGAAAAATGAGTCTATCATCCCAGCTCCAATACTCTTGTCTCTTCTGCCTTGTTCAGAAAAATCGTAACCGGTAGGGTCATGGGCCTTAAGCATGATCCTGAAGATCAAATAGGAGACAGATGGGAAGGAAGTTATTGGGGGGTGGAGAACAATAGCCAGGAGCACCTGGGCTGGAGAGAGAGTGGGGAGTTCTGGGAACTAGCTGGCACCGTTGGAGCTGTGTGTGGGCCAGGAAAGGAAGAGAAAGAAAGTAAGGGAATGATTTATAATAAAAAAGAAGAAGAAGAAAGGGAAGGTCAGGCCCGTGGACCTAAGGACGTCAGACTTGTGACTTAGGCTCTCTCTCTTAGTATCTTGAGTATCTTGTGATTTCTACTGATTTCAGTGTAAACAAGGGCAGGGATTGGAGATAATGAATTTCATGTGATGGACACTTATTAACTAAAGGACCAAACCTTTGCCCCTTCCCCACTGCCCAGGAATCAACCTGGCTGTGAGCGGGTACTGCGGGCTAGTCGTTGGTCACAGGATATGGGACCTTTTTCTCTGAAACTTATACGAAGAGACCCTTACTTAGCATTCTGGGCCTGAATTCTTCTTAAAACCCCTATCATGCTGTCTTTGTGTGGTGTTACCAACTCTAATAAGTCTCTCACTCCAAAGGACAAGCTGCCTCGGTATCCCTCTCGAATATCATCAATCCCAAGGACCCCTAAAAGGCAGAAGATAGTGCTAAGTCAAGATTCCATTTGGAAATGGTTATCTT